CACAAGTCTTTACTCTGACTACCTTTGGAGATTTCAGTCTGAAAAAAAATATTGGACATTTTGTATATAGTTCATTACACTTGTCGTCATAAATAGTATTAAGGCTAAGTGAAAACACTAAAATGAAATTACACATTATTAGGTGACTAGTTATTGGCTATGAACAAGAACAAATATTTAGATTCTAAAGCTACAAACTTACACAAATAAAATACTTACACCAGTATCATCGTAAATCGCAGATTCAGACAATTACATGAGGTTATTTTCTATCTCAGCAGGTTTATTACTAACGGGACTTAATTCAACTAGTAACCGCAACGGGTGAACTGGTTCTTGGTGTAATATTCACTTTGCTTGACTTTGCGTTTTTATTTTTAAGTTGCAAAAACGCATGGTGATGCTTATTTTTTAGGTGTGTAGATAAATTCGTTGTATTGCCACTGGTTTTATAATTTTTTCCACACACATTACAAGAAACGTTTTGTCTGTCTATTTTTTTGAAAAAGTTCCATACAACACTAGACATGACTGGAACGTACACGCGACACCAACACTCAACGACGATTCAATTTTATGTTTTTAATGCACTGCTTATATTTTTATTAATATACAGTTTTTATTAAATTTACGCCAACAACGCGTACACGCGACACCAACACTCAACGACGATTCGACAATACTGTGAAGAATTTAGCTGCTAAATCAATTCAGACTCTGAACCTTCTCTACCGTGCTCTGAACAATAAGTGACGCTTCTAGAAACTACGAATAAAGTATTCAGTTGAAACTGTGAATTTCTAAGAATAATTGACGAACAGTGTGGCCACAATCCTTTTATAAAAAACGCGGGAAAAGATGTTTTCTTTTTCTCCTCTTTCGCCTGTTGAGTGAAGTTGGGGCGGTTGATATTCCTCTGCATTACGCTTCTATTACTTTATGTAATTTGTGGGAGTAATGCAGAGGAGTATTTGTTTGGATTAAACAGTTAGTATAAAAAAGGATTTAGAATTTTTTGATCATAAAAATATCGTTTTTATACCTTTTCAATAATTGTAATATTATATCGATACCTCGATATATCGAAACAATAAATATCGCTAAAAAATATTGTTAAATTGAAAAAATTTTATCGATATATCGATGTATCGATATTTTTTCGACAACCCTAACACAAACCTTGGGTTGGGTTCGTTTCAGTATCTCCTTTTCACTACTTATTCCCCTTAAATGCGTGCACGGATTTTTTTAAATGTATATAGCACGGATAGCCAATGAATTAAACTTTGGTTTAAATATAAATTTATTGTTAAATGCTAATTTGTTTTTTAGATATGTATAAGTAAGCAAAAAACGCAAATTTTCACATTTGCTCAAACAATGGCTCTCTTCTTTTGAAGTTTTTGTTGCACTGCTTGCAAAAAATTTAACCAATTTAACACACACATCTTTGAAAGATATTTAATTGAATTAATGATAAATTATGAATTTTATGTACAAATTAATAAATAAAATAGCTTAGAGAAAATAAGCACAAAAGGAAGACAGTAATAACCCAAACCGTTTCCACGACAGTCGAGTCTACGAAAACCGGAACGGACCCGGATTTTTATCCGGCCAAGGACTGTCAACTCGCCAGAATTCTGCCGTTACAACAGTAATAACCCAACGAATCAAAATGGTAGGTCTTATATACATTTGGGTTACTTTACATAGGACTCGTTACGGATCGATGGTTGCAAGTATTAATAAATGTGAAAAGGGGATTGGTGGGGTAGTGGGGTTGATCCTTAGGGCCACGCTCAATTAAGGTTATACTATATATTTTAACAATGGAGTAATACATTAGTAATATCGAAAAAATGTTGGTTTGGTCACTTCTGTATTAACGGTATATTGATTTCAATGGAATTCAAATTCGTATTATACTATATTCGCGTGCCTTAATTAAAACCCTACATAGGATTGTGCGCTGGGTTTGGGACCCGCCACGTATAAAAACACTACCAATGAAAAATTATAAACAACCTCAGAATAGCCCCGATTCAAGAGAAGGGCAATGTGACCAAAGATGTCTTCTATAAGCGCTTGGAGCACGCCTATGAGAGCTGCCCCCAGCACTATGACAAATTTGTACTTGGCGACTTTAACGCCAGGGTGGGCAAAGAAGGTATCTTTGGCACTACGGTAGGTAAATTCGGCCTCCACGACGAAACATCCCCAAATGGGTTAGGCTGATTGACTTCGTCGGGGCCCAAAATATGGTTGTCTATGGTACTAGATTCCAGCACAAGAAAATACATCAAGCTACCTGGCTGTCTCCGGATCGAAAAGCCACCAACCAGTCGATCATGTTGTGATAGACAGAAGACATCGACTCGGACCACTATCTTGTTGCAGCCAAGATTCGCACTGGCCTCTGTGCAGCAAGAAGCGCACGTCAACAAACGCGAGGAAGGTTCGACATCGAGAAGCTGCAATCTTAACAGACAGTGAAACGATTTTCTACTCGGCTTGCACTCCTGCTCTCTCAGAGCACTCGTCAACAACTCGGTATCAGGGAATTGTAGGACGGCATTTCAAAATCCTTACGCCCAGCTGCTACCGAAACCATTGGTTTTCGGAAAATGCAAATGGAGCGCCGTGTCGCAGCGGAGAGAAAACATGCTGCCTACCTCGCAAAGTTACGATCGACCATAACACGTGAGGGATAGATTCAGATACTGAGGATTGAAGAGGGAAACGAAACGCATCTGCAGACAGAGAAAGAAAGAGGCCGAAATGCGTGAAGAGGTCGATAAGCTGGGCGACAGGGGTAATACTCGAAAATTCTACAAAAAAATGCGGCGGCTTACAGAAGGTTTCAAGACCATAGCATACTCTTGTAGAACCCCCAAAGGTGATCTAGTAACCAATGCCCAAAGCATACTTAAATTATGAAGGTAACACTTCTCCAGCAGGAGAAGGCGAACCCGATTCCATTGCCCGACCATGAAGAAATTTGAATAGCAATTAACCGCCTGAAGAACAACAAAGCGGCGACAGCCGGTGGATTGCCGGCCGAGCTATTCAAATACGGCGGCGAAGAACTGATAAGGAGCATGCATCAGCTTCTTTGTAAAATATGGTCGGACGAAACCATGGCCAACGATTGGAATTTAAGTGTGCTCTGCCCAATCCATAAAAATAGGAGACCCTACAATCTGCGCCAACTTCCGTGGGATAAGCCACCTCAACATTGCATATAAGGTTCTATCAAGCGTATTGTGTGAAAGATTAAAGCCCACCGTCAACAAACTTATTGGATCTCATCAGTGTGGCTTTAAACCTAGCAAATCCACAACCGAACAGATATTCAACATGCGCCAAATCTTGAAAACGGCCCGTGAAAGGAGAATCGACACACACAACCTGTTCGTCGATTTCAAAGCTGCTTTCGACAGCACGAAAGGGAGCTACCTTTATGCCGCGATGTCTGAATTTGATATCCCTCTAAAACTAATACGGCTGCTCAAACTGAGGTTGAGCAAATACTAAAAGCTTCGTCAGGATCGGGAAAGAACTCTCCGATCCGTTCTATACCAAACGAGGTTTCAGACAAGGCGACTCCCTATCGTCTGACTTCTTCAATCTGGTCTTGGAGAAAATAATTCGAGTTGCAGAATTTAATCGAGCAGGTCTTCTATAAGAGTATGGTGTATGCTGATGATATTGCTATCAGTCGTTAGTTCTGCTTTCTCCAGACTGGATAAGGAACCGTGGCAGTAAACGAAGGCAAGACGAAATATCTCCTATCATCAAACAAACAGTCATCACATTAGGGACTAGGCTCCCACTACACTGTTGACCATCATAACTTTGAAGTCGTAGATAATTTCGCTTATCATGGAACCACCAACACTACCTGGACGTCCAGCGCAGAATAACTCTTGCCAACAGGTGCTACTTCGGACTGAGTAGGCAATTGAGAAGCAAAGTCCTCCCTCGACGAACAAAAATCAAACTCTATAAGTCACTCATAGTTCCTGCCCTGCCATATGATGCAGAGCCTTGGACGATGACAACAACTGATGAGTCGACATTGCGAGTTTTCGAGAGAAAAGTTCTGTGAAAGATTTATGGTCCTTGCACGTTGGCCACGGCGAATGTCGCATTCGATGGAATGATGAGCTGTATGAGATATATGATGACATTGACATAGTTCAGCGAATTAAAGACAGTGGCTACGTTGGCTAGGTCATGTTGTCCGAATGGACGAAAACAATTCAGCTCTGAAAGTATTGAACGCTGTACCCACAGGGGGAAGCAGAGGAAGAGGAAGACCTCCACTCGGTTGGAAGGACCAGGTGGAGAAGGACCTGGTTACGCTTGGAATATCCACTTGGCGCCCCGTAGCGAAAAGAAGAAACGACTGGCGCGTTGTTGTTACCTCGGCTATAATCGCGTAAGCGGTGTCTACATCAATTAAGAGAAGAAGAATTTATGTTCCCAGCAGTGAAGAAGCGGGAAAGTTCGGGAGAAGTAAAGAGATAGACATTCACATTTAAACACATGAAATCAGTTCTCCTGGTGGGAGTTTCGAAATATAATAATTGAACAGTAGCTGGGAGAGTATACCACACTGCGGAGCCCTCTGTTTAATTCTCCTTTATTTAGAATGCTCACCTCGAAATAAACGTCTTGGTCTATGGATTTACTTGGAATAATTGTCCTTAATTATGATGCCAAAAATTAGCGCGATCTGTAAACCAGTGTGACCACAATAATGTTTGTCGAATTTTACAAGAAAATTTTTCGTATTTTTGTAAAATTTTGGCCATATACTCAAAAAATACCATTGAATATGTACCGATAATTGATGTTAGGTTACTGTTTAATATTAAAATACACACGCTCTTATGAACACAGTTACTTAGACAGCTGCACGATTAGATAACTGTGTACATAAGAACGACATATGACAGATGTCACTTGAAGTCTTTCGCCTCCTTTGTGTTTGCAGCATAATGCTACCAGTGTTGAAATGTTACTTACCGATCCAAACATAGTTAGATCGGCGAAATGTCAACCCTTGTCATCAAAGATCCGGCTGGCTTGGGAATTTTGGTCGAATTACCTGCACATTTGCGAAAGGTAAGCAAGCACTTCGTTTAGCGGTAATGAACAAACGCATCGTGAAACTATACGATAAAAGAGGTAGCAAACTTAAAATAAATCAAACTTTACGATAACTATTATTAGAGAGTTTCTCAAGTCTATCTCACTGCTTCGAAAAATACATTGTGACCTAAAAAAGGCTTATATAATATTTTTAATTTTGTCCCCCAAGGATCTGCCCCTGAAGGGAGCACCAGGTGCACCTAGTGGAAATGCAGCGCTTTTATAGTAAATGCGATGAAGGAACCTTACTGATTTACTGACTGAAGTTATTTAAAATGCAGCTTAAATAATTAAAACTTTGGTCTGGAGCAGATTACGATGGCTAAATTGTTGAGAAGATTTTAAATAAATGACTGATTAGGATCAAAATGCTTCGAAACTTTAATTTTACGCTAACAAATATTTTCTAAGAATAGTAGATCGCTCTTTCAGCGTTGGTCACCCTGCTGTGGCGAAGGGGCTTATGTAATAAGTAATAGTAATGGCCACAACACAAATGGGAACTAAGAAGGATACCTCATAATTTCGGAAGTATTCTAATGCTTTCTCTAGGACGAGTGAATAATCCCTACCAGCTGACTCGTAGATACAGAATTAATACAACCAATTAGGATACAAATATCTTGTGCAGTTAACATAACGGGTGCCAAGCAAAGTAGTCGTACACTAAGGATAACTATGGAAATATGGAACTGACTGCTAAGGGAGTAAATCAGCGTACGAAAAGGAAACAGTCTCTTATCAAGTGAGCAAAATCCGGGATGTTATTATTGTGGGTAAGATTGGCACAAACCAGACTCCCGCACTTCAGTGGATGAAGAGGAAATAAAACGGCAGAGGAATATGAAAGTTTCCTGAAAAGTAAACAATCAAAACCCCCTCTGAAACCAGTGGGCAAAATGGTTCCTAAAAACCAAGGCTGTCTATAAATTTAAATAGTTCAAATAATAGTTACTGCCTGACTAAAAAAGTCATTATGAATCATAAACAAAATTTTAATATTTCGACATCATATATGTATGTATATTAAACCATTCATATACAATGTCAAAATTAATTAGTAATTTTTTTCTTGTAGACTAAGCAAAAGGGTGACTTGACAAATACTACTCTTTCACTAAGTTTTATTTGTGTGGTAAGTGTTGTGGAATCTGATAGTTATCGGAATCAGAATTGAATCCGATCAAAAAAAAAAAAAGCAGTAGGTGTCATGAATTCAGACATTATTGGTTTGATATTCGAAACAGAATTTATATCGGTTTCGGAAGAAGATAGTCGCACACAGATTTGAAATGTAAGTTAATAAAGCAAGTTGTTTTATTGTTACGAATTGATATATCTTTATTTCTATAGAAGAAAACATGGAAAAAAATGCGGATAAGCCTGCTTAGAGGCTTAAAAATCGATTTTTTTGATTTTTTTTTTGCGAGGGAAAGAAATAATTGATTAAAACGAAATTTCCCTATAAACCCTAGTTATATGTTATATTTAAACATCACCGAACATTTTTTTGGATACGAATTCTTTGATATTCGAATTGTGGAATTGAAGACAGAATTGCTTAGCTGTCAGAATTGCAAACCAATTCTGATTTTCAATGGTGTCACAGAGTCTGATTGGATTTTTGTCTTTTCGAACATACGCAAAACCAATTTCGAACCAGCTGTTTACTAATGTGACAAAACTTGCAAATGAATACATTTGGAAGCAATCCTATTAAAATATTTAGAGATATTAGAAATATTTTAAGAGATTTATTTAATGAATAAAGACACATTTGGGTGTTAAATTCTTTTTTAATTTTTACGATTTTTCTTAATTGGCTGGCATGATGGAAAAAAAACTGAACGTCATATAGCATTGGGACAAAGTTTATTATCTTTGGCATTAAATTGTTTTCTATTGAAATTGAAAAAACTAAGAAAGGTTAAGTTTGAATATATATTTAAAGTAAAATTTTTTTAGACCAAAATCAGTTTTTTTAAAAATTATTAATTAAAAATTATTTAAAAAAATTATTAAATTAATT